AATCGTAATAGCTCGGAAATTACAAATCTTCTTGAGGCCGCCCAAGAACTAAAGCTGTGGGAACTCGTCGAATTCCTAAAGGATCATTTAATACAAGATAGGAATAAAAAAACGTTAAGCAAATCTCCCGACAAAACGTGCATTGTGCAGAGCAAAGATCACGCCAGTACCTCAAGAGAATCATCGAAATCGCTCAGTAAAAGAGGTCGAATTCGACTTGTCGGTGCTGGACCTGGAGACCCGAATTTATTGACCCGCGCAGCTTACCAAGCCATACAGGAAGCTGATGTTATCCTGTCTGACAAATTGGTGCCCAGTGAAGTGTTAAAATTGATTCCTCAACAAACGGAAGTGCTCGTTGCCGCAAAAAAGTTTTGCGCAAATGCCGAAGCCTCCCAAGAAGAACTCAATCGCTTGGGTCTTGAGGCTTTGAGTCAAGGAAAGGATGTCGTAAGGTTAAAACAAGGCGGTAGGAACCATTGGTATATTGTGACATCGCTCGTTATAAGGATGCTTTGTGTATAACAGAAAATGTTTTTAGACCCGTTCTTGTTTGGTCGTGGTGGTGAAGAATTTCTCTTTTATCGTTCTAATGGTTACACTCCACAAGTCCTTCCCGGTATTTCTTCTTGTATGTCCGCCCCTTTGCTGGCTAACATTCCCGTTACGCATAGGGGAGTCGCGTCTCAGCTACTTGTCTGCACGGGTACCGGACGCAAGAATACTTTACCCGAGATTCCTACTTATTACCCTTATCGCACGACCGTATTTTTGATGGCCTGCCACCGGATAAAACAAATAACGCAAGATCTGATGAGTGGGAATAACTTTCCACCCGAATGTCCTTGCGTCGTTATCGAAAGAGCAAGTTGCATAGATCAGAAGGTTATAAAGGGAACGGTGGGTACGATTGCCGATATTTTAGATAGAGTTGGTCACAATCCTCCGGGAACATTGGTTATCGGGTGGTCTTGTTTAACTTTAGCATAAGAAATAAAAATAATAATTTAGACAATAATTAAGAAAATTTTGATAGAAAAATATACCCGATATATTATCAATAGAGTTCTGATTCCAAGAATAGAATATAAAATACAATATATATATCTAAATAAGAAGATATACAATAATTTCACAATTATATTTAGAAAAGTATTCAAGAATAAGGTCTTAGTCTGTAAAGCAATTCCAAATAATTATATCTATAACAAAAAAATATAGTATATAGTCTCAAGAATATCTAAAAAATACAATTAGAAAGTTACATATCTGCACTTTTTTGTCAACTTAATAATAATGAAGTTTCTAGTATTGCCACCATAATTAAACTAAAACAGAATCAAATTCAATATTGGGAAATTGGTAATATTCTAAAAAATTCTATTAACTTTTAGAAGTTATTTAAAGAAAATTTGATAACTATAATATTGATCCTAAAGAAAAGTATACAAATCACCTTTCAAAATTGGAGATAGAAGATCAACAAATTAAAAAGTTTTCAATCAACTTATGGAACAATTAATTACTTATTAAAACCAAATTGCATAAAAAAAACCTACATTCTATATAGAT